TGTGCCAGGGAGTGACTGTTTTCGTTCAAGCTAAATGCAAAGCAATATCGTCCAATTGGAGAGTCCTCAAAAGGATTTCCCAGGATATGTTAAAGACTTTGCATTTACCTACAGTCACTTTTTCACATAATGGAATTAACTAAAATATTTATGTATATCTAAACACTTATTGCACGTCCGCTACTTTCATATAACGGCAGATTTAGAAACCGCGAAAAATTTTCAAGACTGAATAAATGGACTTAAAATTTATCACCCCAATTGTATTATGTTTATGTATGTAAATACTTGTATGCTTGAAACTACTATTAACTTATCAAACGATTCCTAATCTTTGACTTCATTAAAACACTAAAACGTTTGAAATAAATCTCGTCTCACTTTTTTGAATTTTTCATTTGGTTGCTGAAATAATTAAGAATTAAAAATTCATAAGGGAAAATTATAGTTTTTGTAAGTTTTATCTTAATATCTGAAAAATTTGTAGACTTATTGAAAAATGATAAATGAACGTGAGATACTAAATTTAATAACCATTAGTTTGATATATCGTCCTGTTTAGAACAATTACGGCTTCCATAGATATTACAAGCCCAAGTTTAATTTTATAAATTAATACACTTTGATTCAATTGCGCGGGCTAAAGATAAGTTTTAAATTAATCTTTCGTGGCCAATAAAAATTGGCTTAGACCTAAGACATCATAATATTACTATTACTATACGGTCAAATGCCTTTTATTTTCCCCCATACAAAATCGACCCAGCCTAATACACATTGAGCAAGAAATTTCAAAATTGCGATCTGTAGATTCTCTCAAGCATTTGCCTTTTGCAAGCATTTGCATTTGAAGCTGCTAATTTTTTGCTACCACATATACTGAGATAATAATATAATAGTAATATTTAGAAACATGTTATGAAATAACGCATAGTAAAAATTAATATTTTTTATTAAATTATCGTTTTAAAATGTTCGTATTTCAAAATAATACTTACATACCACGCACGCGGTCAGATTCAAACTCAACATTTGAAAGCACATTTACATGTCTGGCTGTAGCTGGGTGCAACGATGCTTGCCAAAATTTGTTAATTTCCAGAGAGTCAGGGTTCACATCCCATTGCAAGCAGCATGGAAATAATTTTTTTTTACTTAATTATTAAAAAGCATCCGTGAACTCTTCATTTAATATGAACTCTTCATTTTAATATGAGCTTATTTGAATTGAATACACTTAATACTAAAATTTATATACTAAAATTTATTACGGGAGGTGGTGGTATTCTTTCATATGCGTATTTTTTTTGAAATTTAGAACGTTTTTTTGATTAAAATTTTTTTTTCTCTTAGTGTACTTCCATTTTCACTATGCATCAGTGATAAATTATCACCATTCAAATTCACGGTGGAGAGAATACAGAGGTGGCGCCGATGACGATACCGCTACTCGGCTCTCAGTGATTTTGACAGAATCAGCTGTTTTGGTGACGTCATAGTAGAGAAGACAGCAGTAGTGATGTGCTGAGTCAATACTTTTAAGTACCCAATACTCTCGATACTCGGTACCGAAACATTTAGGTTTCGAATAAAAGCGCACATAGGCCAAAAATATGGAAAAAACGCCTAACCAAACCCGAATGTAAGAGCCAATAGAGCTTTTTTACTGATTCAAATGAAAGATGTATATATGTCGGTTCGATGCCATAATACAGAGAAACCCTTACTTGTTTGAAGCATTTTTGTTCCAGCTGAATCGGACGATATCATTTTTGTAGGCCTGGGACAGATTCTGTAACCAGTTAACGACAATTTTCGAATCGGTATCGGTTTTGTCGACGTTTGATATCAAATATTTGTAAGTCAAGAAGTGAGATATCGATCTGAAACTTGTCGCTAACTGGCTACAGAATCTCTTCCCTGAAAGGCTTCTTCATCCGTCAAAGTATTTTTCTTGAACCTTGGACCGACTAAGGTTAAAACTGATAAAATAATATTTTTCTGTGGCGATAAGTTCAAGTGTTTTAGCCGGTATCATATAAATTAGTAATGAAAGTTTTTTCTAAACCTGAAATGCATATAATGGCGAGGGTTTAATGTAAATAATCGGTATCGGATACCGAAAAGGAAGTATAGGGTACCGAAATCTTTTTTAAATATTGGGTACCGAGTATTGGGACAATTCAGCACATCACTAGTCGCCCTCATTCTCGCCGCTCTCAGTTGTCAACTCTACGATGACGTCACGCTAAAATTACTCTCACGAATTCTGCTGCAATCGGCGCAATCTTGTATTCTATCATTCTTGATTAAAACTGACTATTTACCACCATTAAAATGCAGGCAAATGTTGACAGCCACTTGCGGCCGAATAAAATACTTAAATTTAGGCCAAGCAATTTTTAGCGAAAGGCAGAACCGAAAAATGTAAGCTTTCGCATTTTAGCATTTTAGCGGTAGCGAAAGTTAGAATCCGGCTACAGGTCGAAACAGTTGGCGTCTTGATTTCGAAATGAACTGTATCAGCGATGTTTTCCGATCTAAATATTTTAGCATCCTTTCCAAATTGTTTTCCAAAATTTTCGTCTTTCTTTAATAAATAATAGCAATAAAGGCGCGTTTTTTCTTCTAAGAGCTTCATGAAACTTTCGCCAATATCAACAGCACCAAATTTTTTTCAACATGCACAGTGATTCTCAAGCATGCATAGGTTCGATTAAAATCGATCCAAAAAAATTTGTTCATCAGTCTTTAGATAAATATTTTTAGATCTAAAAACTGCTTTTCTTGAAATCCTACCTGCTCGTTTTTTTTTTGAAAAAAATTCAAAAATACGGTCATGCACTTTTCTATTAACAGCTCGACTATTTTTCATCTGATACCATTGCATATATGAATTTTTAGTAAATATTGACAAATTCCTTGGCCGCACTGGTCATGAAATCTGAAAGTCCGGTACATACACATATAAATTCAAGGCCGTGTTATTGCCGAAATTGCATAACTTTTTGACAATTTTTATGCAATTGCATTAGGTGAGGTACCAATTAATTCAGTTTTAAGATCTAAAAATATTAGGGCCAATTTCAAATTAATATTTAAACGGCACTTAAGTTTAATTTTGGATTGTTATTTAAATGCCATTTAACTTTCATTGGGTTTCAGATGAACTTTATTTAAATATGTCAAAGAAGTCGCAACACTGTTGTTTGCTTTTCGAAATTGTTGTTGCATTTGGTTGTTTTTTTACATTTTGTTCTTTGGCAATATTGGCCATTTAAGTGCAGGTTAAATGTGTGTTTTTTGGGCTACTATGCTATTGCAAAAGACGAGTTGTTTGAAGTTTGGCTGATTGGGTGTTCGAAAAAAGAAAAACTTTTTTCGGTTGTCAACCATGCACAAATTTGTTTATCAGTTTTTAATTAAGTAAAAGGCGTTTTTTGGCAAATTATATGAATCGATTTGGGCGATAGATTTATTTTTTGAATATTTCTTCCTGCATCGATTAATTTATTTCGATCTGGCATATCTGTACGCCGTAAAACACTGCTAACAGATGCTCTGTATAAAAAAACTGTAAAAATAAAATGCCCATAATATGTAAATATGGAAAACGTCAAGAGAACGCAGGGTATCAAAAACGGGGTACGAAAAAAACCCAAAATTACGGTTATGTTCGTACTTCATGCACTTTTCTATTAACAGCTCGACTATTTTTCATCCGATACCATTGCATATATAAATTTTTAGTAAATATTGACGAATTCCTTGGCCACACTGGTCATGAAATCTGAAAGTCCGGTACATACACATATAAATTCAAGGCCGTGTTATTGCCGAAATTGCATAACTTTTTGACAATTTTTATGCAATTGCATTAGGTGAGGTACCAATTAATTCAGTTTTAAGATCTAAAAATATTTATCGAAAAACTGATAAACAAATTTTTTGGATCCATTTTAATTGAACCTATGCATACTTGAGGACACTGTGCATGGTTGACAACCGAAGAAAGTTTTTCTTTTTTCGAACACCCAATCAGCGAAACTTCAAACAACTCGCCTTCTGCAATAGCATAAGAGCCCAAAAACACACACATTTAATCTGCACTTAAATGGCCAATATTGCCAAAGAACAAAATGTAAACAAACAACCAAATGCAACAACAATTTCAAGGAGCAAGCAACAGTGTTGCGACTTCTTTGACATATTTAAATAAAGTTCATCTGAAACCCAATGAAAGTTAAATAGCATTTAAATAACATTCTAAAATCAATTTTAAGTGAAGTTTAAATATTCATTTGAAATTGTCCCTAAGAAAATTAAGTAAAAGGCGTTTTTCGGCAAATTATATGAACGCAGGGTATCAAAAACGGAGTACGCAGAAGCTGTACGCAGGAGCATGCACCACAGTGACCCAAAAGCAGAAGTTTAGGATGAGTCTGCCTAAACTATATAAGAATTTAGTTATAGTAGCAATATCTTTGTAAACAAATAAATAAAATATATAAGAACTCTAATTATTGTGTAGAATTTATAACAACCACACTGTGAAGTTTAAATGGCGGCAAATCAGCTGTGCTGTATTAGAGTAGATAAGCATCGAGAGTTAACGGGGTGTGCTTAGCTCAGCGGTTAGCCCTGCTGACTTTGCACCGGTGATGCCGGTTCGAACCCTGCTGAAGTCTGGAAAAAAAGTCTGATGAGGAGAGGTGATGACCGAAATAGAATCTATAACTACTATCGCTTAGACTTTGTTGCTTTTGCCATTTTTCCTTAAAGAAAATCGTGGTATAAGTTCAATAACGCTGCTGAAATAAATATTTTTACGGCACAGTGTTATTTAAGGTCATCGAAAATGGTGAGAACTGTTAAGTGAAAAAATAATTACGTTGAAAAATACAAAAAAAAAAAACATTTATAAAATTTTTGAAATTTTGAAATAAATCACGAACATCAGTTGTCCCAATAATCACATTTATTTTCCTTCAACAGAATTCATGGGTACGGAACGTCCATATTTCGATGATGTTAACCCTAGAAATATATCGACAGTAGCTGATGAACCGGCGATATTAAGATGTCGCGTCAAGAATAAAGGCAACCGTACGGTAAGTAAATTTAGCGATTTAATGCCACAAACTTGCATAAATTATGAAAAGATTAGCTGCTACAAATGTGTGTGTTAAAAGTAAACCGAATTCATTCGTTTCGATCAATTGTTTTTTTAGTCTTTTAGCGCATAAATAATTTCTGATAGTGTTTTTTTTTGTGAGATGCGTATTTATACAGCGAGCCACATTTGCAGACTTCAGTGGATCTTTTCTTTCCACTGCTGCTACATGTGGCACACAGGTTGGTTATCGGATCCCGCACTATTAAATCCAATTGCCACCAGGGAATGTCACTTGATCAAAATTTTCATTTTGCCAAATTAATGTACAAAACGCGGAAAAGTAAATTTTAAAGTTATTGCTGTTATAAATGATGTAAAAGAAATATAACAACACGTAATATTGATTATATCTCACAATAAAGGTTCTAAATATTTGTATTAAGATGACATAATCACGGTTGCCAACTGTCCGGTTTCTTCCCGAGATGTTTGTCTATGTCCGATTTTTATGTTTAACCGGACTTTAAATTGATAATTTTTCTTAAGAGCATACGTATTTATAGACCGTCAAGTATCTTTAACAAAAGCAAACTTTAACGACTAAAATCAAATGAAGGCTTGAAAAGCGTATAATATATGACACATTTTGCACTAAAGGGTCAAACTGTGTACTTTCTTTAAAATCCCGACCAGTAGAACTCTTTTTGCTACATACATTTTTTTGTGAAAGCTGATAATTTATTTGCTTTTAGAGTTTAAAGGAAGCTTCTCGTTTTTTCCAAAGTGACGGCTCGGGTACATCATCCTATGCCCTAAAGCCGGGTTTTAAGATAGAAGAAAGAGTAATCTTTCAGAAACAATGCTTATGGTGTATTTAATATACAGCCGTGCTCCCAATTTAACATTCACAAATTTCATGTGGATTCGGTTTAGTTCCTTAATGGAATGAGAGCAAAAATTAAAATTTTCAAACAATGTGAAATTTTGCATGGATTTTTGAAGATTAAGATATTGTTGTTGTAATTTCTCTATAATTTGCATATATTTCAATCGGCTTTCTATCTATGGCCTAAGTATGCCACTAAGGTGGCAGTCACTTCTACCTACCTTCCTATGTGATAATTTATCTTCACGCAAACAAAGTTTCATTCAATAATCTCTTTTCTAACCAGAGATCTATGATTTTGAAAAAAACGCGTGTTTTGCCTACAAACAGCGCGCCGCTCGGATCGGGTTTGTGAAGGTACACTTAGGCATTTGTGTGGTCAAATGATTTTTTTGCTTAGCATTGATTGTCTATAATTTAATTGCATATTGCTCTGAAATATGATCGATCTCGGTGAATACTTAGTTTATTTTTAATTATTCGACACCAGTCGGTTAAGAGACTGTAACTTGCCTAAATTGTAGTTGAAAAATTAGCTAAATTTGCAATTCTGTACCTATAGTTTGTAAGATTATGCAACCGATGTATTGATAAATAAACAAAATCAATTGAAATTGTCTTAGGTTTCATGGATGCGCAAACGAGATCTTCACATACTAACAACTAACATCTACACCTATACTGGCGATCAGCGATTCTCTGTTGTACATCCGCCCGGCAGCGATGATTGGGACTTGAAGATCGAATATGCGCAGCAGAGAGATAGCGGAATTTACGAATGCCAAGTAAATACCGAGCCGAAAATTAATTTAGCCGTATCACTGGTTGTCAATGGTGAGCAGTTTTTTGATTTATATTATAAAATATGTTATTATATCATGCCGACAAACACTTTCCAACACTTTTATATTTGCCATTCTTTATAGTTTAAGAAAATAAGCTGTAAACAAAACATAAATTTGGTTAGGACATTGCTTAGTTATTACAATTTTCATGAAAATTCTGCTGCAACCACCGTTGTTGAAGATATTTTATATTTACGATTTTCAATCGTCTTAAGTCGTTTACTTAGAATGTAAAAAATTTTTCTATCCATAAAATCGCAAATTCCGACGCATTTCCTAAGTCTGGCAGCATCACCAGCAAGAGCATATTAGAAAAAAAGCGTGAAGGTTGCAGCAAAGGTAGTTGAATGTTAAATAAAACCTTTTCAAGTCTACTTCTTACCGTTTTTATCCAAGCCGGGTTCAAAAAGTATATTTCTTACAAAATCTTAATAATATCGTACATGCTTCTGGTCATCGCATTCAGTATGCCCGAGGACACGCCATCAAAACATACAATAGCCGGGACGAATATCGCTGCCAATCATGCAGCTTGTAGGCTCGTGCTCATAAACTCACTAATGCATCGTAATTTGCAAGCTAAGGCAAATAACGGTGGTAATTCTGCTCTCTCTAAATTAAAGTCGTGTTGCTGCACCAAGGGAACGTGCATCGAACGTATGCCATTCGCCTGTTGAAAATGGTTTTTTGCCTGTATTATGTAATCGTCAGCCACTAATTAATACCTCAG